CACCGAAGAGGGTCCGAGTGGACATGGGAGCCAAAGGCTGAGATGCGGGAGCACTACCCGAAGATGTTTACCGCATCGGACTTTGAGAACGAAGTGTAGTTCAAGTGGGGGAGAATTGTAACGCCTCGACTCTCAAGTATTAATTTTTACAGCTTTATTTTCATATTGGAAGGTCTACTCGACGAGTTAATGCCCTGACTCGTTGAGTAGGAACTTTTGGGGCCACGTGTTTTAAATGACCAACTCGTCGAATCGGAGACATAACTCGATGAGTTGGAGTTGTAGGATGAAACCCTAATTTCCGAGGTTTTCACCCTATTTAAAGGGTCATTAGCATCCCTTAGCCTCCTTTATAGCCCCTTATGAGTCTAGAAACCCTAAATCGCCATTTTCTCTCCATATTTGTGTGTGTTAAGCTTGGAATGTGGATCTTGGTGAGAGAAGCTTGAAGATCAAGTAGTTTGAGGCAAGGAACGTGTGTGGATCTGAAGTCTACCCCATTTTAGCATCATTTGAAGGTATCAAGTCATTATCTTGATCTTCTTCTAGCTAAATCCTTCTATGTTTGAGTTTTAGAGCAATTTTGGTGTGTTGGTACTTCATTTCGAGTGATGAACCAAGATCTGAGGTTGCAACTTCAGATCTAGGCTCATCTTGGTCCTTATAATTATAAAGTCCCAATCTTTAGCATGCTAGTGAAATTCTCTTGCCTAGAATCTCTTATTTAGCTTGATTTAAGTCATTATCACCTTGCATGTACGTAAAGTTTGCAACTTTACGTAAGAAGTATGCCTTAGGAGCTTAGATCTATGTTATGGGGCTTTGGAATGGCTTAAAGAGCATCTGAATGGAGAAAGAACTAAAGGGACTCAACGAGTTGCATGTTAAACTCGGCGAGTCCGATGAAGATTTTCATGCAAGGGTTTCTGCATGGAGTCGGCGAGTCAGTATGAGGACTCAATGAGTCAGCTAGGGTTTTCCCGACTTTTGGATCGTGCATGAACTTGGCGAGTTGTATGGAAACTCGACGAGTCGATGGGGGATTTCACGACTTCTAGAGTCAGGGAGGACTCGGCGAGTTGGTGAACTACACTCGACGATTCGGGTCAACATGGATTGTTGACTTTGACTATTGACTTGGACTTTGACCAAGGGTTGACTAGTTGACTTCTAGGGCATTTTGGGAAATTGGGAATTTATGAATATGGTTCTATGGTGAATATAGGTAGTGGAGTTTATGGCGGTGATCTGAGAGTTTGAGCTTATCACTTCAGCGCGTCAACTGTAAGGTGAGTTCTCCTCACTATATCAACATGGTCGAAGGCACCAATGTCGACCCTTATCGGATTTGCATCCGGGTTATTGCATGATATGTTTATTGATTTACATCCTGGTAATTAGGATGGTTTCTATGATAGAGATCGATTAGATCAGTATCCTGGTTATAGGATGGTTGCTATGTTAGTGATCGATAGATATGTATCCTGGTTATAAGATGGTTGTCATGATTAGTGATCTGTTAGATCTGTATGTTTACTTGTTTATATGTATGTGCATATGTTTGTTGGTTTGGGGAAAAGGTTGAGGTAGGTCCTGGTGTGTGCAGTAGGCCAAGACACCATGGGTAGACTGTAGGCCCGGGCCGGGCAAATCTAGTCAGGCCGAAGGCCCAGCGAGCGGTCTGGATAGGCTGAAGGCCCCGGGAGGGCAATCCAAACGTGTCGAGGGCTTGGAGAGCAGTCCAGATAGACTGAGGATCGGGAGTCGGTCCAGTCAGACTGATGGCTCATTATGCATTTTATTTGCTTATATATTTATATGATATGGTTATATATGTATGGCATTGGTATTTTGGGGGTAGCTCACTAAGTCTTCGAGCTTACATTTATCGATTATTGTTTCAGGTACTTCGGATGATCGTGGGAAGGCGGAGGCGTGACCGTACACTTCCTCGATTTATGATTATGATTTCTGGGAACTCTGATATGATACTATTTTGAAAACGAAATGTAATAACTTAATGATTTTTAAATTTTTTAAAAAGTTCAATTTTGGCATGATTTTTATGGATGTTACAGTTTTCCCCGTAAGCGAATTACCCATCTCTTTTCTAGTTGAGAGGCAGCAAATGCTCTGCAAATCTCTGTCTATACATGGTGGTTTAATTCTAATTTAATCATTTCCCTTTTGTTCACTTTTAGTTTGTTTTCGAGGTTAACAAATGCATATTTCTCGTTGTTTATGCGTGTTCATATGTACTAGAACGAATCAATGAAACCATTAGTCCAGTTTATTTACTACATTTTTTTAAATATACATACTAACTAGGGGACAGCCTTAAGGCAATACCTAACCTGTTAGGTTAATACTTTATTCGTGGAAGATCATGGGTTAGAGACTTAGAGTAATAGAACCGAAAAAGAAATTGATTTGCTATTTAGTATTGAACACAAATCCACTTTTATATTTGTTTTTTTTCCTATAAAAGCATGTCATTTCTGAGCTAGATATGTGAAGTTGGGTGTTTACAATTAGAATTGGTTACATATTGCTATCAAGTATTGATTACTTGCTAGAAAGATTGCCAAGACAAAGTATGCTATTCTAAATATGAAAATGAGATGCACATTGACTTTTGAGACCACTAACATTTTTAGTATTTTTTGTTTTTGCTAGAGTGTAATGAAGTCGTCAAGCTCTTCCAAACACCAATATCCCATTATCAGCTTCAATCAACTTGGTAGAACCTATGTATGTAAACATCATTTTTTCCCCCTTTGTTTTCCTTTTAGTTATTACTCCATCTGTCCTCCTCTGAAATTGCAACACCTGAATTTTGGTCATACACATATTTCATACCGAAGGTTTGACTATTAGTTGAAGAAGGGTTAGTGTTTTTCAAGAAAATGGTGGATGAGTATGGTATTGTGCTTGATATAAAGCATTACGGGTGCTTGGTTGCATGTTGGCGAGAGTAAGGAGGATTGAAGAAGCAGAGAAAGTGGCTTTGAAGGTGCCTAAAGATTTGGATACTGATGTGATTTGGAGGATGGTACTTGGGGCATGTAGCTCCTATAATAATGTTGAGAGAGGGAGGAGAGTCACAAGGAGAATATTTGAAAAGGAGAGTGGTTACTATAGTGATTATGTGCTTATGTCAAACATCTTCTCTAGTGTGGGTGATTATGTTGATTCAAAGAAGGTTATGAGAAAAATGGATCAAATGGGAGTTTGTAAACTACTTGGTCGTAGTTCCATCTAAGCTTTGAAATGGCAAAAAGGTGATATGACGTATGAGGTTTGAACCCATGGGGAATATACAAATGAGCTGAAATTTGCTCGTATGTTTATGCAGATCAGTAATTGTGTTGGTGTGGGGAATTATTAGTCTTGGTTTGTTTGCAAGCCCCACTAACGAGACATTCACGGAAGTAAACAATGAATGATTATGTTGTGTGTTTTTTAGGCATTTTTGAGAAGCAATTTTTTAGCGTATTTTGGTCTAAATACTGTAATTGTACACAAGCACTACAAATAAAACTTATAATATTACAATTCCATAGTACACACCAACACAAAAACTACTCACCATTGCCTTTCAACTCAAGTGGTTGAGAGTTCCAAGTCTATAGGTGTGTAATTTATGAGTAAAAAAAAAAAACTCAAATTTCTGCAAACCGACAAAACTTAAAAAACGGTAATCATTATGAAATTATGGCCTAAAAAAGATACTCGGTTAATAGAAAAAATAAATTATGTGTAGTATAAATTATCTCAATTAAAAACTAGACTTCCAACTCAAATTCTTGAGATTTCATAGTATAACTTATAAAGGCAAACCTATATCATACATACATGCTACAAGTATAAAGAACATAAGCAAACCCAAAAGAACCATGAAACAACAAAAAAGCCAATATAAAATTAGCCCAAACCACCCAACGATTAGACAAACTATAACTATTTGTACACATAACTAAAGGTGCACATTAGCCTGTTTTAACCGGTTAATATATTTTCTCCAATTTTTACACTTACTTTTTTTTAACCGGTTATATTTATTTACCTCTAGCTATAATCATTAACTCATTAAGCCATATAATAAAAGTCTAGTGAACAACTAATAACATCAAATATCTTTTTCTCCAATTTAGTTACAAGGAAGTGGAATGACCGAAAAAAAAAAAAAAAAAAAACTTTATTCCCTCTTCTTATTAATGTTTCCATCATTTACACTTCATATCCTTGCACCATTAGCACTTGACACATAAAAGCCTTTAAGGCTTTTAGGCTAATAGGAGTGGTAACACTCTTAGCATCTTGCCACATCAGCTTTTTGGATGCCGCCTATTTTATTTATTTATTTAACACCTAAGGTTAGCATTTGGTAAGGAATGGTAATACTTCTAACACTTCATTTTTTTATTTTCTTTTTCTAATTTAATTAAATTACTTTATTTTAATACACAAACATTTTTTATGCATGTATTAAACAAATTTTAATTTTTTTTAAACCAAAAACATTTAATATAATATAAATTATATTTTTTAAAACATATTTCATAACTAATCCAATTGCTTCATCCAAATCTCTTTCTTCATTATCCCCATACCCCTATTGTAGTTTTTCTTTAACATATTACTAAACTATTTCACAAATTATGAAAACAAGGGGCATACCTCTACATCCAAGCTACTTTGATGATATAAAATCCAAGCATTCATTGATTTTGCTTGTTTCAATTTTTAAAAAGTAAAGCCTTCAATTAAGAAGCATTCATCTCTCTGTGTTTTATCTTGTAGGTTGTGTTAGATATCTACCTGATGATACATGATGCAACTTTATTGCCTAAGAAAAACAGAACATAACAGGAAGGAAGAAGTGAACAGGGTGTGAATCATTAATTTGATTCTATGAATACGCCACACAACCAAGGCAAAGAAATCACAGTAGGACTTTAATACTTTAACAAGGATCAATTCACTTGATTCCTTTATGAGACAGGTTAATTGTGCAGAAGATGAACAGAGCATGAATGAAACAGGGGAGGAAAGAAATCTGGAAAAATTACTTTGGCTCCAAGTATCTTATTCAACAAAGACTGAAAAAACTTAATTAAAAACGTCAAACAACCATACCCTATTTATACTAAACTAATTAGAATCCTAAACTAACTCAAAACCTTAAATTAGGAAAGTTTTCCCAAAATACCCATTGGACCAAATTCAACTACATTTATCTAACATATTCCACGACCATTTAAGCTGCAACCTTCCAAAAAATGGCAATACCCTCATGACTTGGTAGACTGATGGCACACTTTCTGCAAGCAATGAGATTTTGAACTTTGTTAGATCATGGAATTTGAGTCATTTAAATCCATATTCCAGATTCTTCAACAATTGTTTTCAATATATATTTTTTTTTAAGAAAATGATGATATAATTTGGGATATAAAAAGAAAATATAAATTTGTAAAAAGTTTTAAATTACTTGGAAAGGTCTCATTTCCCTTACTTTCTTTTGATTTTGACTTTTCCATTAGGGTCAAAGCGTTGAATTCTAATGATTTCTGTCATGAAAAAGGAGATTAAGAAACCATTTAGCAAGATAAAAATCAACATGCTTAACCATATACAACTATGAGAATCCTAACCTTCTTTTTTTCCAAGAGCAAATATTTTTCAGAGAGCTCCATAATTAACTCATGTTCCTCATCAGCCTGTGGATTATCATAAATAACAATCATCAGTGTAGTTTTTAGATAAATTATCTGCAAATTGACTCGATTCACCCCAATTTGAATGAAATTCATAAAAATCTATGGTATAAAAGTTATTTTGTGGTTTATTTCGACATAAATAATAAAACAACCTGAAAGTATAAAGATAAAAGAACCCCATGAAAATCATTTTATGTAATATTCTGATTCTAAACACAAAAGTTCAGCCAAATGTAATAGACACATTATAAAAAAAAAAAAAAAAAAAGAGCAGAAACACCTTTTCTGTAATTCAAAGTTTCAAACATATGAAAACATTTGGTTTTATGTATAGCATCGACATAGACCTAGTGGGGATAATCATATATCTTTCTGGAGACACCAAATAGGAAGAAGAATAACACAATTTCGTCAGTAACCTCCTCAATTAACCCAACTAAAATCACCAAATACTGAAATGTCTTAAAACAGATGCAATTTAAGACTCAATTAATCCAATCCAGTGAACCAATATGTGCAGTTCAATCATTTAAATAACCAAAACTAACCTTTGAGCATGAATCCCCTTCATGTGCCCTAATCCCATCGGACGAAGCAAAAACTAGGGTTTTCACGTTTATCAAATATTTGGGAACTCAGAGAGAGGAAACGCTTGGAATTAGTCTTATGTGTCAAGTGTTAATGGTGCAAGGACATAAAGTGTGAATGATGGAAACATTAATAAGAAGAGGGAATAAAGTGTTTCTTTTTAGTCATAAATTACACAACTATGAGACTTAGAACTCTCAACCACTTGAGTTGAAGGGCATCGGTGAGTAGTTTTTGTGTTGGTGTGTAGTATGAAATTGTAATATTATAAGCTTTATTTGTAGTGCTTGTGTATAATTATACGCTAAAAAATTGCTTCTCAAAAATGCCCAAAAAAAAACACAACATAATCAAGACTAATAATTCCCCACACCAACACAATTACCGATCGATCTTCATAAACATACGAGCAAATTTCAGCTCATTTGTATATTCTCCATGGGTTCAAACCTCATATGTCATATCACCTTTTTGCCATTTCAAAGCTTAGATGGAACTACGACCAGGTAGTTTACAAACGCCCATTTGATCCATTTTTCTCCTAACCATCTCTGAATCAACATAATCGCCCACACTAGAGAAGATGTTTGACATAAGCACATAATCACTAGAGTAACCTCTCTCCTTTTCAAATATTCTCCTTGTGACTCTCTTCCCTGTCTCAACATTATTATAGGAGCTACATGCCCCAAGAACCATCCTCCAAATCACATCATTATCCAAATCTTTAGGCACCTTCAAAGCCACTTTCTCTGCTTCTTCAATCCTCCCTGCTCTCGCCAACATGTCAACCAAGCACCCGTAATGCTTTATATCAGGCACAATACCAGACTCATCCACCATTTTCTTGAAAAACACTAACCCTTCTTCAACTAATCCTCCATGACTACAAGCACTTAGAATACTCAAGTAAGTAACTCTATTAGGCTTCATCCCTATTTCCTCCATTCTTTTAAAACTATCCACAGCCTCCTTTGCCATTCCATGCATTGCAAATACAGAGATAATCGATGTCCACGACACTAAATTCCTCATCTCACTTGTTATGCCTTCAAAAGCTCGCAAAGCACTCTCCACACTTCCACACCTTGAATACACATCAATTAAAGCATTCGTAACACGTATATCTATCATATAAAATCCGTTTTTTTCTCCATAAGCATGAACCGATTGACATAACTCCAAAGACCCAAGATTCCAAATCGCAGGGTAAACCGCTAAAATGGTGATCTCAGTTGGCTTTGTATTATCGTTAAGTGCAAGCATGTGTCTAAACAATGAAACTGCTTCCTTGGGTTGATTTGCTCGTGTATACCCGTCTATCATACCACTCCAAGAAACAACATTCTTAATAGGCATTATATCAAAGAAAGATCGCGCTAGCACAATTTCACCAAGTTTTGCTAAACCTGTTACTAAAACGTTCCATGTGACTAGATTTCTTTCAGGCATTTCATCGAACACTTTGCGACATTCGAGTAAATGCCCACATACAACATACATGTTGACTAAAGCGGTTTGGACGTAAACATGACTCTCAAACCCGAATTTGAATGTGAGAGAATGGAGTTGTGAACCCGACATGGGTAGATGTGAATTAGCACAGGATTTTATCAAGAAAGCATATGTGAAACTATCGCCATTAAACAAGGTGGTGGGGTGGAGATGGTGCTTATAGAGCAAAAAAGCTTCATCGGGGGAATTCCCAAGTGAGTAATGGTGGAGGATGGTGGTCCAGAGACTGACCGGTGGTGGTGGTGTTTGAATTATGGCGGCAGTGGTGACCAAGTGAGCGTGGATTTGTTGAATCGATCGGCGATTGCAGTGATGCTTGTGTAGCAACGATAACAGGTTGTAGTGGTCTTTCCTCATTAGGTTGGTGATTCTGATGGATTTAGCCAATGAACTATCACGAAAGAGCACTTGTTTAAAGGCTAAATCAGTAAAATTTTACCTTTCTGTAGAAATTTGTTTTTTAAAAGGTTAAAAAAAATATAATGGTTTAATCGTTAAATTGATATGATGGTGAAAGTACCAATGGCTGCTTTCTGTATTTTGACCCTATGAAGCTAAAATTACCTGCTTGCCCCTCCTGAAGGGTAATGATTTTAGTTTACAAGATTGTCTCTACTAGTATCACTGAAGGGTATTTTAGACATTTTCAACTAATAGTCAAACTTTCGTCACGGTCCTTAGCTTTAACACAACGTATTTCTTTGCAGGTGATTGGGTTTAATGATATTTTCTAAATGCATTACTGGAGCAGCAACATTTCCATGAATATTAAACAATAAATCATAGCTTTGACTTAAGGATTTTGAAGGTTTGTTGTTTGTGAAATAAGATAAAACAGAAGGGGTAATGTCGAGAAGACGAGAAGTGATGCAGGTACGAACAATTTGACAAGAAAAAAAAAAGGAGAAATCGAACCAAGTAAGGGGAATACCTAATTACCGAGTAGTCGAGTACCAAACAATGGAGATGGAGAGAATGATGTGTCGACGTCGCTGTAAGCTGGCCGTTGTGAACTGCTTCTGCCTTCTCGATTCTCGACTCTCGAGCTCCTGTAACAACGACGTCGCTGACGAGGGCAATGGTGGAATTCCGTCGAGACGATGAAGAATGGTGTGAGTGTCTGAGTGAGTGGAAGTTCGAACGAGGAACGATGGCCGGTGATCGTTGATTCGTTGCTGCTTGAATTGTTGCCCTAAGCGAGAGAATGAGTACAGACTACCTTAGTGAACTAACTCTTTCGAAAAGAGTAGTCTTGTACTCCAAAATAGCAACACGTTTCCATTATGACTTATAATATTTCAATTAATCCTTGGCTAATCATTCCATGCCAACAACCATTATTTTCCCCAAATAAGAATTCATAAATACAATATAATACCTAAATTGCATAGAAAGTTTGTGGATTTTACAAAGGGTTTATATAACTCTTATTATATCATTTATATGGCTTCCACATGGCAAAAAGTTCCAGGTATCCTTGTGTCTATGAGTCTATCCATAAGTAAATGGGTTCCATGAGTAAAAAAGCGTTACCTTAAGAATCAAGGGTATTGAGGTAATTATACGTGCTGTCAACTTGAAAGGCTAAATCGGTGTCTTTTTATTTTATCAAGGGTATTTAGGTAATTTTCTTTTTTTATTTTTTTGATGTAAAAACCCGGAAGGAGTAGACCGTTCAAAACCAGGATAACATTCTCTTCTATTTCTGGAAAGAAGTTCTATCATCCCGTCTTCCCAATTTAGCTTCAATGGCTGCATCTTGTTCAATTCAGAGCAAATGTAGAGTTTTTATACTTAATTCAGTAATTAGGGATCGCATTTTACCTACATATGTCTAAATTTAAGCATTTTTGGGTAAATTCTTCTTTGGATTAACATATCGACTCAGGATCTGCTGTTTTCTTCTCTCCCTGCGATTTTGCAGGTTATGCAGTACCACTACACCTAATTTCGACCTCAGGCGGATCAAATTTATTCGTTCCTGTAAGCTAATTCTCCATCTCTTCTTTGTTTTACTGGGCAGCAAATGCTCTCTGTATATCTGTTGGTTTAATTCTGCTTTGATCGTTTCCCTTTTTCATGTTGAGTAAATTTCCAAATGCAGATTTCTCTTCGTTTATGCGTGTTCATATATACTAGAACGGATCCATTAGTCCAATTCATTACTAAAATTTGTCAAATATAATTGACTAGGTGAGAGCCTTAAGGGAACATGAAACTGTTAGGTTAATTCGTCGCTTGTGGAAATCATGGCTTTGTGTAATGGAACCACAAGAGAAATGGACATGTTGCACAAAGGGATGTTTATTATTCACTATTGACCAGAAAACCACTTTTATATTTGTTTTTTTTTTTTCATATAGATCAATCAAATACTGTATGAGATTCATAATTTACATGTACATAACATACTTGAAGTTCAAGTTCACTTCATTAGCATATATTAGCTTCTTACATGTTTCTGAGAAGTTTCCTCATGTTCTATGCCCGTTTCAATTTAGTGATCAATGTGAAGAACTGTTATGAGATCGTTACTTTTGAAAGTTGAAACACTCGTGTTTTCTCTCTTGTGTTTCAGAGATCCATATGTCCAACAAAAAGAAAACCAAATCAGCAAGTCCAAAGATATCGAGCATGTTGCCTTTTAGAAGTTGCAGTTCCTAGCATTGATATTCCCTTATCAGCTTCAATCAACTTGGCAGATCCCATGTATGTAAACCTTCCTTTCCCCCTTCTTTTTACTTTTAATTATTACTCCCTCCATCCTGTGGAATTTCAGAACTTGGAAGTTAAATGTCTAAAATACCTTTCAATAACTACAAATAGGGAGACTCTTGTAGACTAAAACTCCATACCCTTCAGGGTCAAACATGAAGTTTTAGCTTGATGTTATGGAATTAATGTAAATCTTGCATAAAGGGAGAACTTTTGTGGGTGAAATAGAGAAAATCACTTGAACTCTTACCACATTATCAGTTAAGTCACATAATTATTTTCTGTACATATCAAACCGTTATACATTTTTGACTGTTAAAAAAAATCATTCTTCCCGCTACCCCATTTTGGAAAAAAAGGGAACGATACCAAAATTATAGTTCAATGGCTAAATCAATAGAAAATTAACAGTTTATTGACCAAATCGATAAAAATAATAGTCTAGTAGCTAAACTGATAAAAAATAATAGTATACTAAAACCAAAAAAAAAGTTTGTTGTCATTTGGATACAATTAGAAATTCAGCGACTTAAAAGAGCAAATAAAGTGTTATTGGTGGTCATTTTTCCTTTCTTTTAAACAGTCATCGAAAGTATAATGGGTTAATCACTAAAGAAAGATTGTTACGTAACTAAATCAATAAAATTGTGAAAGTACAAATGCTTTTTTTTTTTTGCTTTATTTTTATCGTCAATTTTGGTGGGTATATATTTATTTGTAACCCGAACCATTGTGTAAACAGAAGAGATGCATCGGACTTGATACCAGAGTACATGCAAAGGTTGGTTTTAATGGATCTGGACCCGGGAACAGCTAAATTGGCAATACCCATATTGGGGCCTTTACTATCAGCATTTTCATTCCTCTTTATTGTAAGAATTGTCATGTCATGGTATCCAAAGCTTCCTGTTGAGAAATTCCCGTATGTAGTAGCATACGCCCCTACAGAGCCGATTTTGACAGTCACACGCAAGGTGATTCCTCCCCTTGGTGGAGTTGATGTGACTCCCGTGGTTTGGTTTGGATTGATCAGTTTCCTTAATGAAATATTAGTTGGCCCTCAGGGCCTCCTTGTCCTCCTATCTCAACAGGTTTAGATTATGTAATAATGAATCATAAACAGAATCTACAATTTTTCAACCCCTACATGTTTGTTTCCTTTTGATTTGATCTGAACAGAATGACTTAATGGATTAAGCCCGGAAACATGGCTTAATGTATTAAAAACTAACTGTTTACCTATTTGCCCCTTTTTTTTTTTTTCCATCCAACTCCTATCACATTAAAATTGATAAACATTGTTAAGATTGATAAATATTGGAATTCAAGAATATCGGTTTGTTAAATCTAAAAAAGAAAACAAGTCTTGTGTTTGATAACATTTTATCCAAACATCTATGATCACCTACAAAGGTACTTTAGTCACATTAGACTTGATGAAAAAAAAAAAACAATCTTTTACTCTAGTTGCTTGGAATAGCTGTGTTGGTTGTGTGAAGGATTACTCCGAAAGATATTTTTCTTTTTATATGCATTTAATTATTGATATATATTTTTTTGTTTATATTTAACCATTTAATTTGGTTTTTTTTTTTGTACACATTCAGTTTTTATAACCAATTACTTTAAATTAAGTTGGGAACGATGACTTAATAGGGTAATATAGTTCTCAATTTGTACATATCTAATTCTTAATCTTTTTTTGTTGCAAAATAAGTTTTTGTTGTTATTTTACATATTCATTCCTTATTACAAATTTCTTAGGTTTTATCCTACTAAATTATGTTTCTCGGTTTAACCTGAAGTAGCTGGTTATAAGGACTATATGTATAAAAAAAAACAAGTTAAATGATCATATATATATATATATATATATATATATATATATATATATATATATATATATATATATATATATATTAGGTTACAACTCATGGAAACTACAGTAAATAAAGAAAAACAATATTGATAGTTAAAAACAGTGTAATGAAAAATCAAAGATTTATAAAATTTTATTAGATTAATAAGATATGATTGCACTTGTATTGTCTTTTCACTTAACACATCTTATCTAAAAATGATATTAAGTTGTTGAATTGCACGTTTTAGTTTTTTCCATTATCAACAAATTTTGTCTCCACTTCCATATATTTTGTTGAATTTTGTCTCCACTTCCATATATTTTGTTCTCGTGTAGTAACTCGAAGAAATACTTTTTTGACCCGCACAAGTTAGTTTTCTTGGATTTGCTTGTTTGACCCATACCATTCCTCCATGCATACGCAAATCCTTTACCTATCTATTTCGAGCCACAAAAAAGGCTAACCATGCATTTAATATTACTGAAATGCCTTATAAGCAAGCTTTCATTAAAAGCCTCCACAATTACTCAAGGTATATGAGATTATGCTGATTATGCTAAAACTTGGGCTTCCCTTGAATAGTTCCAGACCTATAAAAACAAACAAAACAATAAGTAAGATGACCAAAATACCCTTGAAACAAAAACTTGGCTAATAAATATGAAACAATACATAAACGTTATAGAGGAACCTTGATACATCTCATCTTCTTGTTGATGGACTTCAAATGGAAATAGAGGAACCGTTGAGGAATGATGAACATGTGATCTACGTGGATTAAATATTGAAACTTATGAACTTCAATCAAGAGTTTAAATGAATAAAGACTGGTTTCCTATAAAGGATTACAAAATCACCATAGAAAGTAGCATCCAAATCCTTAAACGTTATAGAAAAGAAAAAACTAGTGAAAAAGATGACTTTTATGATGATTGAGATGAAAAGGAGATGGCAAATCGAAGTAGATCAAAAGCGATTTGTACTCTAATCAGGCTAAATGAATCAAATTCATTCCAAAAAAATGAATCAAAGTCATCTAATTAGTCAAAACAGTTACAAATTCAACTTGTTCCTTACTAATCATATCAATTCTTTCAAGCATTTCATCAAGCACTTGGTATGTATTTTCAAACTTGCCAATTTTCAACTTGTTAAGCATTCAATTTATAAGAATTACTTATAAAATAAAACTAAGTTAAATAGATCAAAAGTTTAGTTGAGTAAAATATATCAATATACTTCATTGAGATATGTATGATTTTGATTTAATTTTTATCTTCTATTAACATGAAAAGTGAAATACGTGATATTATAAAAAAGTATATTGAAATGTAGTGTTTTTTCTTGCCTTTCCCTAAGCAGTGTGAGCATTATTTCAAATACATAGCAGGTTCTTGCAACAGACCAAACTTTTCCTAATATTATACTTGTATAATGAACATAAATGATTAAAAGAATCCATAATACACAACAACTTCAATTTCAAGACAAATTAGGGAATATAAATTTAAAATAAGGGAAGACAACCTAACCCGAACAAAACAATGTCAACAGAACAACATATTTACAAGAAATGTCACAATAAATATAAAGAAGATGATCCGTAACATTTAGAAACACATCCACACCAGATAGGATGAAGATGACCGCTTTTCCTAGCCAAACAATGTCACAAGTTTAGAAGGTGATATCAGAACATACCAGCGGTGAAATCTTTTTGACTTAAATCTGGAAGGAAAAATACTATGCTGATAGAAAACATATATAATAAGAATAACAAAGAAAAACATAAACGAATTATTTGCATTACAAAATCAAAATGTTATCTTTCGATATATACGAACCTATAAAGAGTGAGAGGCTCAAATCTACAAGATTTGAATAATACGAAGGGGATGAGACGACACCATCGTTGCAACATTGTTTGTGTCGACCATTCCAAACTCCGAGCACTTTTCAATCAAAAGTAATAAAGATCATTAGGGTGTGTGTGACCATACCACCAGGTTTCCGAGTTCAACTTAACAAGAGAAACAAAAGGAAATAGGTGGAAATAAGAAGAAAATAAATGAAATTGGTGTTTACGAGTTTTATTAAATGAGGGAAGTGGAGGGAAATCGGATGATCACTTTCCATCCTAATTTTCCTTCTGATTTGGGAGGATTTGAAAAAAAAAGACCAAAATGATGCATTTTTCTTCCACTTCTCTCCAACTTGGGAACACGAAAGAAAATTTTGTTTTCTGTTCATTTCTCTTATTTTCTCTCATGACTTTCTTTTCTCTTATCTTTTTTTTTTTTTGTTAAACTTGGGAACAAGGTGTAAGAGAGAGATTCTTGTTACATTAAATTAAGAGAAGGTTACAAATATAACTTAATCTCTTAATTATTTTGTGAAAAATAGGGAAAAAAAATAAAGCAAATTACAAAAATAGCCATGAGAATCGCAAATAGAATAAGCTCATCTGCGATTTTAGCATTCCATTTGCGAACCTACAAGTTGCTAAAGCACAGTCGTGCTTTAGTGACTTGTACGTTCGCAGGTGGTTCTCATTCAACCTGTGATTTTGCGTTTTCTTTTTAATTTCTAAAATTCTTTTTTATTTTGACTACGAAATTGATAAAGTTTCTAAAGTGATAACTTTTTGCAAAACTTTATATATAATAAGGTTGTTTCGTAGTTAAATTCAATCAAATTCGTAGTAACAAAAATGCAGAATCACAGGGGGGGTGAGAGGAAATCGCAGATGAGGGTATTTAGTTTATCTGCGATTTTAATCAGAGATGGAGGTATTTATACGGAAAAAATAAAAAAGAACTAAAAAAAATATATGTGAAAATATAAGTCACTAAAACATGGTTGTGCTTTAGCGACTTGTACGTTCACAGATGGAATGCTAAAATCGCATGGGCTTAATCTATCTACGATTTTTAAGGCTATATTTGTAATTTGAGTTTTTTTTTGGCTATTTTCCACACAGTAATTAAGAGATTATGCTATATTTGTATTTTTCTCTTAAATTAAAGAGGAATTTCATCATTGATGTTTTTTTTTTGAAGTATATGAATCAAAAAGCTATAAAAAGCAATAGGATAACAAAAATTAGAGGAAGAAACATATCAAACTAAGAGATTGATATTTAAGAGAGAAAAGAGAGAACGATGGAGCTATTAATAATTTTTGGAAGATTTATGAAAAATAGGAACAAAATTTGGCAAGATTTATGGGCGAGTCACATAGATGCACTCGGCAAGTCATGTCAACATGGACAGTTGACTCGAGTGATGACTTCTGTTGACTTTAGGGTTTGGTCAAGGAAGGGATTATAGGGACCATGGAGGGGTAAAATGGTCTTTCACCCATCCCAAGAGTTAGAGAGGGATTTACCTACACTCACTAGTGAAAAGCCTAGATTTACTTGCACTCGCTGGCGAAAATCTTAGCATTCTTTTGTAGATTACTATACCAGAATATAACATTCTTTGTTGAATATTCTAACATAATAATATACTGATGTGGGGTGAATCTTGTTTTTAAAAAGATCATTTTCTATCTAAAATATTATCAAAACAATAGATTAATAAGCATTTTCCATCGAGATTCTAATACATTTGCCAAAACAAAGATGTATGAACTAGGGTACCAAACTCAAAAAATCTGTAAAGTAACAAACTCATAATAAAACATGTATCAAACTCACAGATTCACAATCGGAATCACACAAACAAATGAAATCATTGATTCACAGAAAAACTACAAGAATGAAAATAAAAATATGAAATCGCAAACAACTTACAAGAAAGAACCCAGGTGATTAATTATATTACCTGAAGGGATCGACCGGAGGTATGAGCGAAACCGAAGATGTGAGCGACAGAGGTTAGCAACGGTGTGGAGGTGTGAGCGAATGAGGTGAGTAATAGTTGATAGCGATCGAAGATGATGATGGCGATAGTGGAGGAGACATAGGAGCAACGTGAGAGACAAAAAGCAAAGTGCAGGTGCGATGCGAAAGAGAACGGAGATGATTTTGCTCCGGTGGTGGTGTTCTTAAACAGAGACTAATGTGTCGATCTGGATGAGGACCATTAGTCTGTGTGATGGAAAGAATTAGAGACGAGAAAATGGAATTAGGGTTAGTGGGGTAGGGTTTGAATAGGTAAATAAAAACCATCAATTGTTAATTTTGGATATTAATTGATGCACATGTGTAATATTACTAATGTACCCTTATTAATTTAATTAATGATTAAATTATTCATAAATTCTCATTGGTCCATACATGCACACAATAATTATAAGAAACATTTGAACATATATATATATATATATATATATATATATATATATATATATATATATATATATATATTAAATTCT